GGCAGGCCATGTTGCGCGGCCGGTGCGGTGCGGCGGCGTGTTATCCGCTCTGCAGTCGGGACGCCCGGCCCGCCCGCCCGCCGCACCCCTTCTGCTGCTGCAACCGCCCGCACCGACCCCCGGGCCCGGCGGAGACTGGGTATGGGAGGAAGAGGAGGAGGCGCGTCGGGATTCAAGCAAAATAAATCTTGAGTTGTAGAGGAGCGGGGCGTGGCGGCGTGGCGCGGGCGGGGCGCCGAGTGGCCTGGCGCCAGGAGGCCCACCACTACGGGCCACCGGAGCAATCGTATCCTAATTAGTCCTGCTCGTGGCCCGCTCCGAGGCCCTTCCCTTCCCCTCTCTCGATGGCCCCTCCCCTCCCCTCTCTCGATGCTCCGTGGCAGCAGCAGCAGCAGCAGCGGCCCACCCTGTCGCCGAAATGTATTCCAGTTTTGTTCGGCTCGTTCGACGCCATCAAACGCTCGTCTCCCTCTCGTGGCGGTTTGGCGCCGCGGTGCGGCAGGCAAAACCATCGGTCCGGTCAGAAAAGTCGGCGGGGGCGCGTCGGGGGCGCGCCGCGAACTTTTGTCCCTCCGCGAAGACGGATAGGAAAAGTGGGCCCCGCGCGCGCGCTCGCTACAACACGGGCCGTGCTTTGCCTGAGATGCGGTCGTTTATCACACGAATCGTAGTCGTCCTGTCTTTACCACAAATTTATGCCTTTGAAAAGGGGGCTTGGGCGGCCCGGGCCGCTCCGTCGCACGGTCTGACCACGTTTCACAACGCCCGCGCCTATCGTAGAGGGGACTGGGTACACGGCAGGTGAAGGGAATCGTCCTCTGTTGGTACAGCACGAGTACTACAGTCATTCTTATAATCATGCGGGCCCTTATCGTACACGATCATCCCGTACCTGCCCCACCACAGTTTTGCGTACCCGATCATGTTCCTTAGGAACAGAATTTTTGGCAGCAGTGTATGGAATGTCATCGTCAACCCCCTCCAGCCCCAAGCCGTGCTGCGGCGCGAGTGTGGGGGCGGGCGCGCCCGGGCGGACGGCTATTTGCGGTGAATATTGATAATAATAATAAAAAGGTCGGACACAGCGGCAGTTTGCCATTGTTTTCTCGTTGATGGCTGGACCCCCTCCTCCCCCCTGCCCCACTCTCCTATCCGTCATCCCCACCAGCACTGCTGCTGCTGTGCAAATTAAACTCTGGGAACAGCCGCCCCCTCCCCTCACCCTTTCTCTCTCGTTCTCTCTCTCTCTATCTCTCTCTGTCCATTGTGATCCGAGTCCGCAATAGGCCCCGGTCGGCCCCGCCCTCGCGGCCCAAGAGCCGCCAGAGTGGAGTTTTAAATCATTTCCAAGCAGACCTTCCCTCCGGGCACCACGGGGGCGCGACTCGCTCCAGCGTCTGGGACTCGTAGACCTCGGCGCGGTGCGCGGTAGCACTCCACCCGAGCGCCATATGAACGTGTGCGGTGGCCCCAGGTGACTGTCCTCCTGGTGTGCGTAGCATGGAACCCGTTAAGCCCCACATGACCATTCATTTGGTCATGCGGATGCTCTCACAACGTGTTTCAGTAAGGAAGTGTAAGTCACCCTATTACACTTCCCCTTCGCCCGCGTCACTGAAATAAGCAGCAAAGAGTCATCGACATGTGACCCGTAATAAACCGAATCATCAAATTTCCCGAAGTGTCCTCTTAATCTCATGCCTGCCTTGTCCTGCCCGCAGGCCCCGCACTCAAGGCCGGCAGCCGCTCCCCGAGCGGCTCTCCGCCGGCCAGCCCCGGCGCGGGCGATCGCGACCGGGACCGCGACCGGGACCGTGACGCGGCGCTCTCGCCGCACGCCGCCAGCCCGCCGCCCAGCGCCGCCGCCACGGCCGCCGCGCTGGGCCTCAACGGCTACACCAGCCGCCTGCTCAACGGGGGCTCGCCCGGCCCCGGCAGCGCCAGCAGCGCCGACAGGAATGCAGGTGAGGGACAGTGAGGGACCTCGCGCCCAGCCACTCGCGTCTTTGATTTGCATAGTTGAAAGAAGTTTCGCTGACTTCCCCTCTCTCTCTCTCTCTCTCCCACAGGTGGCGCATCCCCGCCCAGCCAGCCGCTGTCCCTGTCGCTCACGGACAGGCCGGCCCGGGATGGCGGGGCCGCGGGGGCCGCGGGGGCGCCCGGAGGGGCGGCGGCCCTCTCCCCCGCCCGCTCCCTCGCCAAGATGAAGCGCTTCCTGTCCACGCTCGTGCAGTTCGGCGCCGACATCTCCCCGGACACCGGCGAGCGCGTGCGCAGCCTCGTCTTCAGCCTCGTGGTGAGTGGCGGGGCGCGCGGAGCCCGCAGCGCCGGGGGCCTGGACCAAACCAAATGCAGCGTCAACAGAACGGAACCCTAATTGGATCAAGGAGAGTCCCGGCGGCGGGATCATAGCAGCCCAGCCCAGGCGAGCGGAGGGTGCGCTAGCGCTGCCGCGGCGGAGGGGCGGCGGAGGGGCGGCGGAGGCTGTACTGCTGGGGCTGAGCCCGCGGCACTCACTCACCTGCTGCTGCTGCTGCTGCTGCTGCTGCTGCTGCTGCTGGCGCTGGCGGCGGCGTAGTTTGGGCGTAGCCATAGTTTCTATGTATGTGACAGACA